AATGTACAAATGTGCTTTACACAATTGATGTATGTATGGATTGTGATAAGAGTTGTATGAGCCCCTAAGAAAACAATTAAAAAAAAAAAAGACCCTACTGGAACCGATCACAAGGATGTACACATAACCCCCTCCCTCAGGGACAGACAACAGAAACGTGGGTGAAGGGAGACATCAGTCAGTGTGAGACATGAAAAAATAATAAGTTATAAATGATCAAGGGTTCATGAGGGAGGGAAGGAAGGAGGCAGGGAAGGGGAGGGAGAGGAAAAAATGAGGAGCTGATACCAAGGACTCAAGTAGAAAGAAAATGTTTTGAGAATGATGATGGCAACAAATGTGCAAATGCGCTTGACACAATGGATGGATGATGGATGGTGATAAGAGTTGTATGAGCCCCCAATAAAATGACTTTGAAAAAAAAGAACTGATTTAACCATGGGAGGGGAGATGTTCTAAAAAATTGATGTGGGGGTGATTATACAATTCTCCTTGATACGACTGAATGATTGAACTATTGAATTATATGATATATTAATTACTTGCCAAATAAACTGTTGAAAAAAATGATCAAATAAAATGTATTGGAACTAAAATTTTAAAAATGAAATACAGTACTCTGAGGGGGGGAAAAAATGACCCTACCAACCTACCTACCTACTTCAAGTTCAAAACAACACCACAGTCCCCCTCCTCAGTATGAGCATCTCTTCAGCCATCCTGAAGCAATGTTTGAGATGCAGTCAATTAACGTGGCCCTTCTAGCCACAGTTCTTTATGTGATGTATCATAATTCTGGATATTATGCTTGCGGTTAAGATCCCATTTTAGAGGCATTCTCTGTTTCAGAATTAAGGTGGGATTAAGTCCGGACCTTGTAGGGGGTATGAACCGAGTCACACCATCTTTAAGACTACTTTACTAGTGTTACAGCTCTTTTAGAATTTGTCTAGCAGGTTTTCTGTTTGTTTTCTGGAAACCCCCACACACCAGTAGTTTAAAAAAAAACAAAGACTACTTTACTAGAGGGTGTGACTTACACCATCCTTCATTTTCCTTCGGGTATGGTCGGCTAAGACACAAACTACACCTCCATCAAAACCATTCCTCAGTATGCAAGAGCTATCTGGGACAGAGAGAGAAACCCCAGGACCATGGGGAGAGCACTTCCAAGATCTGTATGAAGTGGCGGAGACCACTGAAACCAGATGCACCAGAGACTGTGTAGACAGAGACTCAGAGGTGCAGTGCTGAGACTATGGGGCACAAGCAACAGACAGGCTGCCGACTTGGCCTATGGAGGCAAAGGCCAAGATCCCAGGTGGTTGAAACACTGAGAATTATATAATCACCCCCACATCAATTTTTTAGAACATCTCCCCTCCCATGGTTAAATCAGTTCTTTTTTTTCAAAGTCATTTTATTGGGGGCTCATACAACTAGAAAGAAACTTAACTGCTGGCTGAGGAGCGGTGTTGCTGTGGACCGATGACTGTAGTTACCATAGGCAGATATTGACTTGTGGTAACCTATTAACTTCCCTACTAAAAACTCCCTTAATCATGACTCTCGTCTGTGAGTTTTGTGTGGTCACTGCAATACATTATGGAAGCTAGCGTAGAGGTACAGTGTAATAGGAAGAACTGTTGGTCTCAGAACAGTCACAGGATGGAGGTCGTGAAGGCATGACAGAGGAGGTTTCATTGTTGTTTGCCACAATGCTAATTCAATTTTTATGAGTGCTGAATGTGGGGTTAATTTTCACTTCCTTCTTTATACTTGTCTAGATTGTTTCCTTCATTTTTTACTAGAAACCTGTAAAAATTGCCTTTTTTAAGGGAGAAAAATAAGTTAGTAAGGAGCTATGAAGAGAAAAAGGAATGTGAACCAAAAGGCTCAGGGATCAGAAGGCACAGCAAACCAAGGGTATGCTCACCATCTTAGGTCTCAAACGTCCAGTAATTTTAGAACAACAAAAATATCAGCAACTGAAGCTTAAAATCTGAACACTGACCTTGTATTTTTTATATAAAAATAATTTGTACTCCAGTCTTAAAATTTGGAGGGGGAAAAAAAATCAACTAATTCTTTTGAGCCTGTCATTTTCAAAAGAGGATGCTAAGTCGATACGGTTTTTTAAAAGAGGGAGGACAAAATCATTCTACCACAATCTGAGCCCTTGACATCCCTCCCCAGGGCTCACAAGCATTCGGAGCAACTGTGAAAACCAAAGCATCGGG